TCCTGCTGGATCCTACAGCCTCACCCCAAACATGCTCCTTCCTTGAAGTACAAATGAGTTATCTCCCCTCCTAAGGGTGTATTTGACAGCTACCATCCTTAAACCTACCTTATCAATTCAACAGAGACTGAATAAAAACTCATTGTACTTTAAAGCTGAATGGCTCCAAGTACCTCAAATTCAACTAGAGTGAGCAGAGACTCCTTACGTACTAGGATTTCCTAAGAGTATGTTACAGTAACTCCTCACTTTAGGAGTAAAGTAATCCCATTGCTGCATCTGAGGAAGAAGGGAAGGGGGTTGAGAGGGTATTTATTCCACCCTTTCTTAAAGGTAAAGGAAAAATGGAGTGACATGCTGTAAAGAAACTCTGTTTCTGTTCTAAACATCTACTTTAGTAAACAAAAGCCAATTAAAACTGATTGAAAATGTGATGTCTTTTGTGTTGGGATTACCACACATCAGACTTCTCCAATTAGCGTACAAAAAGATGTCGACACTACTCAATATTGCATTGTAGTCACATCACGCTCTTTCCAAATTCACCACTAACTCAAGAAGAGCTTATGTGGGAATGTAAAGAAAAATCAATAGCAACAATTCCAGAAAGAGTTTGAGAAGCATCATCTGCTATTGTATATGGGCATTAATACTACTGAAACAAGCGACATCTGTCTCACTGTTAAAAAGGAACATTCCAGAGCAGAAATTCAAGACAGCAATTTTAATAGACAACATGCTCTGCCAAAACAGCTCTTGCAAGCAAAGTTAAAATCCAGCAGTATTTGGTTAGGATCAGACAAGGAACAAGCACAGGTTGTGCACAATCATAACGCTCTAGGCTCACCTCTCGTATTTCATGGCCAGCTCCTCTATATGACTGCAAGTCTTCCAGTATTCCTTCTGCATCCTTTAACACTACATTCACCTGATTATAAATTTCCTTTTCAGATTCTGTAGGTTGAGCATCTAAACAGTAGAACATATTAAATATATATATATATTTTTAACAACAATATGGAATTCAATAGGCACACCAACAGCTATGGGACAAATTGTTCATGCAGCAACTCATCAAGAATTTTCATTCTCTGAAGAGCTACCACAATGTATGAGGAACTCCAAGGAAGTAATTGCATTCATTTTAGTAGTCTTTTAGCTTCATCTAGCATCCCAAAAATTCACCTGGAATCTATCCTTCCTGGCTTATTTAAAATTGAGTTAGGAGAAGAAATGTCTTTATGACTATCATGTCAATCTCACCTTGGAGTGCAGTACAAGCTCAATGGAAGAGACAGGCAAGCACTCAAAAGACACACTCTGCAGATATTACAGGAGGTGTTCATGTCTATTGTTATTTAGAAACACTGCATCAGATTATTTTCCATCTTCCCTGCCTCCCTTTTTACTGGTTGGGAAAGGAACCGTACCTTTTACTTCTCAATATATTTAATTCTCAAAACATACTCTTTATTGCACTAATTGCAAAATCAGAGTTGAGAACAAAAAGATCCAGTGTAGACTTGTTCTCTTTTTTTCCTCCCCTCTTTTTAAGGATATATGCTGTCTCCTAGATTTTCTATATTTAGCTAAAAACTTTTCAAAAGTATATTCAATCATCATTTCAGAAAAGCTACACATGCATGTTTAAAGAAATGTCATTCAATAAGAAGTATGCTTTGAGAAGAATCAAAAGGCTTTAACCTTTAAAAATAATCACCTAGTACAAATATCTCAGATCTGGTTTACCTGATATGAGATCGGTTTTTCTTTTAAAATGCTGATGGAAGCTATAAGGTTAGCTCCTTTTAGATTGATATAAAAACAGAATTGAGTTAGTTACTGAAGCTGTTACAGAAAAAAAACCTCACTTCTTTGTTTACATGTGTAAAATATGTTATGAAACACCAGGATATTTTAATCTAGGATTTCCAGTGCCAAAGGTCAGGGTATTAACAACAGATCCTTTTTCATAGGGACAAACAAAAGCTATCTATGGACAATATATCCTCATGATGTTGTGTAGCTTAAAGAGTTTGGAAAATGTCTTTTTAGAAATGCTTTTTCCATGATCCATATGTATAACTCCCACTAACAGTGATGGGAGTTAGGTACATACTTACATTAAATAGAAAAAAAATCATCAGAGTATCTTAGTGTTACACACTAGAAAAAATCATTAGAAAAATGAAGTTTGCATGAGGAGAAAATAAGTTTCATATGCATTGCCTGTCTGGATTTTGCTGTAATTTTTGCATAATACTTCTTTTTATGGTTTAATGCATAGAGAGTAGGCATTATTAGCAAATATGCCTATATATAGACCTTGCAACAGTTAAGCTGTGATATTTTGAGAACCATCAAGAATTAGCACAGGTGAAAAAAAGCTGGTCACTCCTTTTTAAAAAAAAAAAAAAAAAAAAAGAATAAGAGCACCACATTGATTAGGCATTGAGTGAAAGTGGCCAGTGCTTTTCCGATCATCACAAAGGTCACATTTATAATTTTGAAAGCTGCTGAAGACTGCTGTAAGAAATGAAGACAAAAAAAAAAAATAATGAGGGAAAAGAGCAGACAGGTAAGCATCAGTTGACTGGCAGCAGTTCATGCACAACCATGAAATGCTATAGTGAAACACAGACTAAAACGTGAATCTCTGTAGCATTCCAGATTGTGGTGTTAAATAATGCAATCAAGACTTGCCACTTGGATTGTCACACATTGAGCACATCTCTTGCCTATTTAATTTTTCATGCCATTTTTTCTTTATCTTCTCTAGTAAGGAGAGTTCAGTTCTTAACATGGGGGGGCCACAGCAGAAGAGCCCATGAGAACTCCTCCTCCTCACCTCAAAACCCACTGACAAGCAGAACAGATGTAGTACTATGACCTTCCAAGTTTAGAAATGAAAATCATCTTCCAGATACAAATTAAGTGGTCTTCACTGAACAGTTGGCTATGCAAGTCAACACCTTCTACAGCTCTGTTAGCGTGCTTCACTTAGGATGCAGTCAGCCAACTACCGTGTTTCAGTTCCCTAAAAAATTCCAGGAAATCTAAAACAATGGTTTATACTTAATATGAGATAGTGCAGGTGGTAGGGGAGGAGTTTCTTTTGTTTTGCTTGTTTGTTTTGATTATAACAAACTTATAAATATACATGTTTAAAATCCAGTAGGCACTGGATTATTTCTTTTGGTATGTATTTCATTTGATGCACCAAGTCCTCTCCAACAGAAGAAAGCTGTAAACCTGGTTTGCCCCAACTAAGCTTCTTTCCTATCTGTAATTCTTCTGTACCTAGAAAATAGGTACATTTTAAATTAAATCCATTTTTTTTTATATTCACTTCACAATAAATTTAAGATGTATTAGGATAGATTTAAAAGGCACAATATGGGAAAGCTTGAAGCCCTAGTGCCAGTTAGCTCTGAGCAATTGGTTTATTCAATTCTCAGTGCTGGTTAGGGCACTGTATTATGAAAGCCCATCACAGATGGAGAAAGAGGGAAAGGTTCCTCTTCCTAAGCACTGTTGTAATCTTTAACAGATGGAAGTGACATCCCCACATAACAGTATGTACCTGAGGACTCAAGCCACAGGACTCTCACTTGAGAATCACTGATTGTGGAACTCATTTTCCTCAGTGTGGAGTACACAAAGCAGGACAGGGAGTTGTACTTCTGGAGTTAGTCTTGACAGCTAAGAAAAAGCAACCAGCAATGCCAGGCATCCAAACAACAGGATGAAAGAGGCATACAATTTCAGGGATTTCCTTTTTCCCCTTCCATGGATTTAAGTTCCTGCTACAATTTTATGACAACACTTTACCTTTACCTGGCAACATTTTCCATATAAAGAACAAATACAGTAAGCACAGCACAGCTCACTGAAATATTCTAACGTTTTATATTGTTGACAAGGGAGCCAACCCCTGGTGATTCAAGGCACATTTCCCATTTTTAGTTCAATAGTAAGAAAGGTGAAGACTGAGAAGAGTGAAGACTAAGGTCCCTCAAGTAAATGGGAAGCTCATCTTTAAATGTACAGTTATCTAGAGCAGTAAAGTTCTGATTAAAATTAAAATTAAGAGTTCAGAAAGCTCACACGATAACATATTAAAGACAAAAGAGTAGACTTGAAACAATATACAAACGCTGTTATGTGAACTAAATGCTATGGAATTATGGCAACATATTGCACGCAGGGAACACACGCATTTAGTGACTATTTAAAAAAATACTTGGCTAGCCTACAGATCTAGTAGGGAGAGAAATTTGGGGTTAAAAGTTTATACTGCACAGCTAACACTACTTAAACTGAGATTTTTCCCAGGGAAGAACAAATCAAGCCATCTGAAACTGGCTGGGACAAAACTCACAAACAAGCAAGGGAGAGAAAAATCCCAGGCTGCTGGAGATGAAATAATTTATTAATCTCCATCATCATTACTATGGAGAATGCTATCTTTGTGGCTCCTCTGAAACCTAGCCAAGTTCTTTGGAGGTAATGCAGAATACTTTCAGCGCTAGCTTGAGATCACCATCTGCAACCAAAAGTACTCTGCATTTTAGCTACTATCCAAATCAGTAAATTTGGAAAGGATCTGCACTGTGACAGTAACGACACCAAAGTCAAAGTTAAGCTCTAAGTTTCCCACGTTGTAGGTGGCTGTTTTATGTTAACAATATTGTCCTTAAAAAGCTGTGCGTTTTCCTCTGCTCATGTTAAAGTGGCACTGTGGAGACAGTGAGAACACTCAAGACAACTATTTCTTTCAAATAGGTAAGGTGAATGACCAAAGAAAACACAAGCTTAACCAGTGTTAAGGCAAGGAAAAGTCAACAGCCCATTATATCATTTATCATAACGTTTTTTCCACTTATTCTGATAGTCACACAAATCACTGGAATCTAGCACCAAGAAAAATATCAGGGGGGGAAGAATCTTAGAAATCAGTCTAAAACTTTTCTAAATTTGGAGTTTGAATCCCTAAAAAGCTTTCTGGTCATTAGATTTTTAGCTCTTTATGGTATCGTACAAGAAACGTTTAACTAGCCTGCTCACTCCAAAGATATGTATGGGTATAAGAACAAAAGGTTTCAAACTCTGTATTACTGGGTGAGGCGTAACATAGAGCTGGCAAATTTGTTTTTAATACAGAGCTTACTTGCTCTTCCACATAAAAACACAGTGTTAAGTATCACAAGATTAAGTGCCAAGTCTTGAAGAAAGATCTTGACTGTGTCAAAGCCAAGATCCTGTCAAGGCAAGCTATCTGAAACAGAGTAGAAAGAAGCATGGCTACACAGTATAGCAGCAGAAACAAACGCAGGACAGGGTCCAAAATTAATAAAGAACAGTCTAACAATTCAGCCATAATATAAGTCACTTAATTTGACTGCATATGTAAACATTTAATGTCAGCAACCTGCTTACTCTCATGCCAAATCTTGTTCATGCTCAAAACATGCACTTTAAAACAAAACTGATAGCTAAAGAATCAGTATTTTTTTAAAATAGCAGCAATTTTTATTATAATTGATTTTAGAATTATGCCTCTTGTATCCAGCTAACCTGAATTTAATTTAATCCAATTAAATGGTCCATATCTGCAGATTAAGCTGGAGCTTCACAACTCCAATGTTCTATCCTATCAGTTCTCTCTACTTCACTAAGTCGTACCTATTCTGATGATATGTGAGATGTGGTTTTAAAAAACAGTTTTTTGCTTTCTGGTTTTTGAACACAGCCCTTGATTATCTTCCTGTTATGACTAATGTGTACGGCTATCATCTTCCAATGATAATATATTCAGAAGAGACAATGGATAAAATCAACAGTACAGGACAAGGGTTTAGACAGTTAAAACTTTAAACATCACTGAAGCAAAAACATTTTCCTCCAAGCATCGGCTCTAACATTAGAACTAATATAACCAATTGCTACTGTTTCATCAAACAACTGAAAAGTAGTTTGGGGAAGAAAAGAAGATACAATAAATCTCAAATTATCCATATCACAATACTTCATCAATTTACTGTTAAGCTATTCCACTGCATTTTATTACATGGTCAAAATATACTTGAACATTAGTTTTCTTATCTTATACTTGCTGATGTGCAGCTGGGTAAAGCAATAGCATATCCCAAAAGAAAGTAATTAAACATGCATAGCAGCAGCCAACAACACTTACCTGCCATTCTTAGGCTATATTATATCATGCAACAAAAACTAAAAGCAAGAAATACTAACAATATGTGAACCTTCCAGAACGCTTGGCATTGATCAGACAAGCTATACATCCCTTCTTTTCAAAAGCAATTTTGTCGCTATATTCCGAGCCCCCCTTTTAAGGAGGGATGAGGTTAACTGTCAAATTTCAATGCCAAATCAAGTAAGGTTCACATATACACCTCGAACGTGACGATACTGGAGAGCTATGAATAGATGTTGTGAGCCAATCTGTACCCGCAGCATTATTCAGTGGCACAGTGGAAGTAGAAAAGAGAATCAGGTTTCATATTCAGTCCTTCCTTTAAGGTGCACGTATCTGCTTGTAATTTCCATAAGTCTTCAAATAATTCAAATTCCTTTTAAAGGTTTGATTAAATCTTTGGTTTAATTTTGGTTTAAAACAGAACCATATCAGATTCCAACAGTAAAATGCCATTTGAGAGCCCTCCCCAAAATAAATATTTTACCTTTCAGAAACTAAGGTTATTTTAAAACAGATTATCGCTTTCTACAGATGTCTGCTGAACAATTATCCATAGCTCTGGCATGCAAAGCTGTTAGAAGGATGGCAAAGTGAAAACATACATTTAGTACATGACAAATGCAGTCTACTGCAGGCAAAGAGTAATAGATATATAAAATCATCTTCTCACTTTCAAAATCAAGGAAAAAATTTGGCCCCTGCTCAAGGTCTGTGCATGTCAAAACTTTTAGAAGGTTCCCCATGTTAAGGTACCTGCCAAGACAAGAATGAGAGAAAAGAAAATTTTCTTTTTATAAGAAGGATCAGCCCAAACATAGTTGATTGAAGCGGTGGGGGAAAGAAGACCAGAGTTCCATCAGGCACGAACCCGTCCTCCAGGCTGCTGCCCTGACGGGTGGAGGGATGCCCCCACCTCGAGGCCGTACAGCTGGTGATCCCAGAGATGCAATGCAGCTTTCCTGTAAGAAGTGACTACATCACTAACATCTTCACAGCTGCCCCCTTGGAGAAAGGGGCAGAACTCCCACTGCAGGCATTGCCAGTGACTAATTCTGTCCCGGTACACCCTAGCAGCAGTGTCCTGAGCAGGAGTACCACATTGAGGGCTAAGTACTGTATTTGCAAACATTGACATGGCTACAGATTTTTACCCGATGGGACAACAGAAGGAAAGAGCTTTAATTTTCTCAGCCCTTAAAATTTTGTCAGAAAACCATTATAGAAAACTGCATCAAGATCCATCATTTCAGTGTGCAGAAAGTGCTAACACAAGTATGCCTAAAACATTTGTGAAGCTCAGACAATTCCACTTTCGACTTTTAGATGTAAAAAAATGCACACTAACTGCACCATGAATGACCACAGCAGGATCAGGAATGATTTAGTACTTGCTCTGGTATAAGACAGCATTACAGTGAACAACTGCTCAGCACAGATTACCAAGGCATACTGACAGAATTTTTATGATTACTTGATTTGCAGGCAGATGGATGGACATCACTGACCACAGAGACCCAAAATGACTAAGCACAAGGAAAGAAAATTCACACAGCAGCATGATGGTGGCTTGGCTACTATTGGAGAGGAAAAAACTGGTGGGAGGAAAAAAAAAAAAAAAATGAACAGAAAAAACACATGCAACTCTTTTCAAATTGCAGATTTGCAACTGAGTCCCCTAGCCTTCACTGCAGCAGGTATAAACAACCCTACTGTTACCATTTTAAATGCACCAGCTGTGAAGGGCCGAGAGACTTACTTTCAAAATCCAAGAAAAAATGTGCTGCATTGTGGTCTATGTCCCTGGTTAGCACCTTAATGAGATTACCCATGCCAGCAAACCTAAAAATAAAAATGGCAAAATAATTTAGTTCCAACAACCATTTCCTATTTTAAATACACGCCTGGGGCTCACCAGAGCAGGGCTCCCATCAGGTTTTGCACACTGGATTCATCACCTTCTGGTAGGAAGTAGAAAACATGCACTGTACAGCGCATTTCCACTCCCCTTCTTCTCAGGGAGGAGTGATTATTGAAAAAATTAATAGCTATAGCTTTGACAAAGATAAAGATCTGAATTACTGGCTTTTTTTCATCTTTGTTTAATACATTTAAAGAATTATGTTACCTATGATGACTAATTGTTTTGCATAACCAAAGCAATCCAGAACTAACAAACACATTACTGCTTAGGACAAAAGCAACCTCAAATGAAACTGGTCTCATCACAAGCCTGATTTTTACTGTCTCTCTTATAATCCAAAATAAATTCCAGAAAGTCTCCATCTATGGCCAATGAACAGTTTTTCCCATCAAATCACGTAAAGTGACAAGTCAAACGTGCTACTTTCAAAAACAGGAGATAATCAAGTTTCAACAGTTCTTATGTTTGCCATCACATCCCAGCTAAAAGAAATGAAAAGTGGAAGAAAAATTAAATAGTAATTAGATTAAACTAGGTCAGACAAATTGACAGTTTCAAACGTTACCATAAGTTTAATGAATCCATCCCTTCAGTAGGACTACGAAAACTGCATTTCATAACAAGGCAACCTTTTCAAGGACCTTCCTATGTTTTACAGAGCCTGAAAACATACTTAAGAACCATTGCTCTGAAATATCAGGAGTTCACTGGAGTGCTGCTGCAAGACAAACACAAGACACTATCTAAAAATCTGATTTCAAATTATTTAAGAATAAGCCATCAGCAGTTTGACATCTGGATTCAAGCATAAGATCTAAAAACCAAGTTTTATATTAATGTAACTATACCAACCTACCAGTGTATGCTCTTTTATTTATTTTTTCCTTCTATTTTTACTTTTACTGATGACTGATATTTACTTGGAGGGAGGTAGCCTGACAGTAAGAATTATTAATTTATTAGGAATCAAGAAAACTGAAGCAATGTGAAGTCAAAACAAATTGCCTGGCAAAATACATTTTCAGAACTTGTGTTGCCAGATTTCTTGAGTTCCATAAGCAAAATGCAACTGGTGTGTGAGGGAAGAGCAAACTAAGAACAACACATCATTTATTTTTCAGGATCCACAAGATTCAGCAATAAATCACACAATCAACAAAAGCTAGAGAAGTAAATTGGAATTACTCCCAGATGGTTAAAATTATTCAGTCTTTGCTTCAACAACTTCCACAGAATGACCAAGCAACAGTAAAAAATGTAGATTTTCAGAAAAGTGAGTGTAATCCAACTGATCACAGTGGATTCTGACCACAGAATTTTATTACTAGGTGCATGGCTTGCTTTCTGCACATTCAGTTTTCTGCTTGAAACACCAGAAAATGCAAGTCCTGCTTCCTAAGCATTTGAACTTAAGTTTTCTGGAAAGTCTGATTAGATTTCCAAGCCTATGAGAAACACCAATTATTTAAGCAATTTTTAAATTAGGGCATCCATTTTAGACATTTATCTTAAAAATTAATCCAAAGTGTGTTTCTTCAAAGAGGCAGCTTTTCCAGAGCTTTCTATTCCATAGCTTAGTGAACTCTTCAAATGCTACACGTGCACCACTGCAGTCTAAACAAGCAAGACCAGAAAAGCAGAGAAACTACTCTTCAGTATCTTGCAAGAATGTTCTGTAACACAGAACTGAAAAAGCCACTTAGTCCACTCCCCAACAACGAGGACATTCATAAGCTGGAAAAAGCTGAAATAAAGAGGCATTCTTAAACAAATATTTTCAACAGGGATAATAATCAGCCAAAAGTACAAGCTGCCTAATGCGGATTGAGTCTGCAGATTCAGATTTAAAAACCAAACCTCAATCTCAGAACAGTGGTTACAATTCCAATGCTAACAAGCAATGCTAACAGTCAATTCCAATGCTAACAAGCGAGCAGCAAATAGATGGCAGTGACAATGTTAACTGCCTAGAGAGAACTCCAATTACACCTGCACCTACTGCCATGCTTTAGCTCTTCAGCTGCACCATCCCCTCCTCCACCAAAATATTTCCAATACTTCAAGTAAATGCTTCTGTGTAGGTTTTGCCTTTGTTTTGATATGAGCCAGTCTCCTAAGAGTTTACAAGGTCATGCATGTGGTTTAAATATTGGATAACATTGCTTCTGAAGGTCAGATTAGGGGCACGCTTACAGAGTTTAAATATTTTGAAGATAAATTTACAGAAGAGCATATAGCCACTGCAGAGCAGATTGTTTAATTGAATCCTAAAATGAGTAAGGGGTCAAGGACTCAGTCTTGCAATACAAATACCTTCTTCCCTCTGAAAAGTTTGACAATAATCATATATGGTTTCTTTTCAGGGAGTGAGTTTAACAAATAGAGAAGCACAATAAAAGGTTTGTCACTACAGTGAAACAGTAGATACGAAACAAATTCAAGCAGAAGATGCAAGCGACCTAATGGTAACAGGTCAGTGAGCAGCTTATCTGAGAAAAGGAGAGAAACTTAAGATGCTGAGAACGGATTAATTCAATTCTGACAGCAACAAGATGACAACATGTGATATAGGAATACATTTCAATTTACATGAATACAAAGCTGTGTGAACACTTGTTTGTAATGAAGTTTGTAACAGACCTCATGCATTCAGCATATCGAAAGAATCTCGACAAACTTTATAGTTACCTCACAGTTCTGCATACAGGACACGCAGTCACATTTGCTCTCTGAGCAGCAAAACATTCACTGTATATTCAGTTTTTATGGAGTGAAAGGAAATCTAGCAGAAGCTGGACAAACACAATATCTGTGAAACTTTTACCAAGATGAATTCTAACAGTTCCTCGAGGATCTCAAATATTCCTTAATACCAGAAGATTTGCTGTGTTTTAAGAACTGCAAAAATGACCATTCCTCTAAGTTGTAATGCAAAGAGTTTGACTTTAAGAAGCCAGAAAAAGAGCTTGAAAACTCAATTTAAACAAAAGTTGAGACAGTATAATTGATCTAGCATTTCTTGGGAGGACACTTTATCTCTCCCTAGCATTCAAGGTAATGCATGCAGGATCTGACAGATCGGAATTTACTCCTCTGGAGAGGCTAAGCACCAATTTCTATGAGCTCTGAAATGGCCTCCTAGAAAGGAGACCGTGGTGTCAGAGTGTGGAACTTCCCAGGTGCATGGAAGCAGCTGCAGGTCACCATGCCATGGCTCAGGTTAGATGGCTCTACGCTTCTGTACGCTGTTTTCCTTCAAAAGCCATAGCTAAGCAGCGAGAGCAGCTGACCTGTTACACTCAGGTGGAACCCTACAGAGAGGAAAATTAAACCCGACCTCTCTGAGAAGCTGATATGTCAGCAGAATACCTGGATCACTCTAGAGTAAAGCAACCTAGCTCAGAGATGTCTCAGGCTCCTGACAGATCCAGATTTACTAGAGATTCTTGTTTTGTTCAAGATGGCTCACATTTGCATTTCTACTGGGCCCAAAACACAGGACAGAAGGTCCGCTACTGGCTCTAATATTAAAGGTGAGGACAATCCGCACACAGTCACACAGTCTACTAAACTAACCATTGCAGTTATCTTCAGGGACATCTTCTATTTTATGCCCTTTAAAAGCATCACCAGCTTGGAAGATTTAGGTAGTTCTATGAAGACTTATCTTGGTAATTAACTCACCAATAGTGGCAGGCCAGTCAGTACTCATTTACCAAGCACTCCTTCAATTTCCTTGAAAGCCTACAACTTCATCTGAGGTAGAATTACTGTTTTAGAAAGTCAGATGTGGTTCCAGTTAACTAGTCCTGACGCTGAGCTATCATTGTCTAGACAAGGACATCCTTTAGCACATTGCCACACCAGTCAGTGACAATTCAAGGAAGATTTGAGCCTGTATAAAGACCAAAGCCAATAGCTGACTCAGAACATTGACTGGAGGTGACTTTTGTTGGTGCTAATACACCTTTAGACCCACAATTGTTCCAGGAAAACTGGAACAAAATCCACACTGAAGTTGTAATCCTTATCAAGGAGAATTTTGCATATTGCAATCACCAACATCAAAATACTCACACCCCCAGCCTCAAGCACAGTGTAGGTCACTACCTACTTGTTCTTCCACAGCTTCAGACTGTCAACCCTGTTCAATTTTATTTGGTATTCTAATTCAGAATATAGTACACTTCAAAACTTGCAAGCTGGTTTTTCTCCCAGGGTTCTTATTGATTTCAAGATTTTATAGTGCAGTGTCCAAAGGCAATTCATTAGTTAAACTGACAGTGGAAGAATCAGTAAAAGCACATTTTAGACCACTGAGGTCTTCTCTTGATTCAGTATCATAAAATCAGAGCAGAAAAAACCCACTAGTCTATGTCCAAAACCTGACTGTCCCTGTGAAGCTGCCCAGAATCCCTCCTGGCATGCTCTGTACTCCAGCACAATACTTGAGCCACATGGAACAGGTTATGGGAAATCAGAGTATGAGCCAAGAACATGGTTTAAACTTGACCTACTTGCAGAGGAAGACATACGGAATGCCACATTTGATTACAATGATTTGGCCCATTACAGCCTTATGGGGTTGTATGATGTTGCGTGTAGTGCCATGATCAGACAAGCGGAAAGCAAAGGCATATTTTCAAAACAAGTCTTGCACGCATGCCCTTCATGCTGAAAACATCCCTGACACATTTCACTTTGGGTTTTTTGGGGGGTTTTTTTGTTTGTTTTTTTTTCTTAAGCTAAGCCCAGGGGAAATTTAATAGAAATACAAGATGCAACTAAATTCGGCCAAGCACTGAGGATAATTCCCCCCACTCACACCTGAAAGAAAAACTGAACATTACATTAACAAGGATTTTGCTTGCAACTGGTGAGCATCTGGAAAACTTACTCTTCTAAAGGTAAAAT